TCCCTCCTGCGCAGGGTAGCAGGAAGCTCTCCACACACTCACCGGACCTGGGCTAGGACTGGGTCTGGGGGCTCCCGGAACTCGGCAGAAAATCCTACTAGGCAGAAAATCCTACTCGGTGGGCGGGGTGGGGGAGGCACTCAATTTTTGTGTTTCTTCATAGATGAATTTCAGGGAAAAGAAAATGAAAAGGATGAGATAATGTTTGGAGAGAACAGAAAAATCTCTGTGAAACTTTCATAATTATCCGAAATCATTTAAAATAGGATCACTTTGTGACTTTTAGAAATCTCCGTTCTTTTGAAGTTTTTATTCTTTGCTTTTTCTTACAATTATCCATATAACTTACCAAATTTCTTACATTTCATTGATATAAACATTTGAATATAGGTAAGAGTGTATTATCTTGTATTAGGTCAAAGGTTTAACCATTTGAATCAAGAACTGTCAATATGGGACCAGCGAAATAGCTCAGCGATCTAAAGCATCTGCTTAGGCAGGCTTAGGCAAAGCACAGGGACAAAGGTTCAATCCCCACATGCTGTGCCAGCCTTGCCCTCAGGGCAGGCTGAGCTGGCCACTAAAAAAAAAAGAACTGTAATAGTATGATACTGAGATATAAATGGATTCATGTGACATACTTTCTTCATTGCTAACTTTTGTGAGGAAAGCGAATGCCCAAACATATATAGGTAAAATACAAAGGGCAGACAAGTGACTCCCTCTAGGCTTCAGGCTGGATAGTCATGTTCTAAAAATCTAACACCTGAGCATGAAAATATTTTGTCTAATATTCAGAGCTTGTTCTAGAGTGGCAACAGTCTTTTTGAGAAACTACAGTCGTTTTAAACTTTTTATTTGTAAATTTATTTTAGGTGCATCAAGCCTGAAGAGAAGTCTCTTGGTGTGGGATTACATACATTTTGCACAAGAGTATTTGGTATGAACTGTTATTTTTCCCAATGTCATATCAGAGCAGTATTAAATATTTAAAAGTTGGAACAATTCTCTCAGTAAAGAACCTACCAAAAAATCCTCCTACCTTAAACAGATGTTTGAAAATAAAGTGGAAAATTTGTTCTTTTTAAATGGTCCTATCTCTGAAATTAATTATACTTTTTATCTGCTACAAGACTTAAATATAAATGAACAAGGAATGATTTATCTGAATAAAATGTACCCCTGAAAATTCAAAAAACATTTCTGAAAAGGTATAAAACTCAAGATCATTAATTCAGCATTTATGCTATCAATAATTTTATTATATTATTCATCATAATATCCTATATAATCTCAAAAATTACAGTAAAATAATATAATTTTTATAAATAAAATAAAACAGCTTATATTTTGTTTTACAAATGGGGAAATTGAAAATATTTTCAGTCAATGGGTCGTCATGTTCATCTTGATATCTTTTTCTTGCTGTCTTAATTGTAGCTGGCATTCCAGCCCCTATATATTTTGGCGCTTTAGTGGACTCTACGTGTTTACACTGGGGAACTTTGAAATGTGGTAAGCCAGGGGCATGCAGAATATACGATGCCACCAACTTCAGGTAAGGATTTTTCTCAGAATTTCTTTTTAATAATAGACTTGTGTTAAATAGCATCATTCAGATCTAACATTCAAGTGGCAAGAATATCTGTGGCTTTATTTTGAGAATAAGTACTGATGTTATAACTTCATTCCCTGTTTAAGTATAGTCTTTGTATTTCCCCATTCTTCCTACACTGTAAGTATAAGCATGAATGGCTCTTTGACCTAAGTTTTCAAAATATTTATGACAGGCTGAAAGAAGGCTAAACAGAGGCACTGTTTCCTCATCTGATTCTCCACAAGGAAGAAAGGACAGCAGGTGTACACTCGTATATGTATGTGAGCACAGGAAACCCTGGAAATCAACAAAGAAAAATGAAGCCTTATGAACTCTAGAGAGATGCGACAGCGTTGTATGTAGTAAGAGAAACAAACTAGCTCAGGACCTGCAGCCCCATTTTCACATCTAGGGCAGGGAGAGTCTCCCTTCTGCAGGGCTAAGCATAAAAGAAAGAACAATAGCGAACTCTATCCACGTAAATGATGGAAATCCTAGCTACTAGTTTTACAACCTTCACAGTTTTGCATTAAAATTTGCACAGCAGCCTGGCTTTAGAAAAGGGTTTTACATCCAATCCAGTAAATTTCTCGGCTCCTTTTGTGAAAAGGAACCATCTCAGGAAGAGCCCATTGACTGATTCGGGTTTTCTTTGGGGGTTGAAACTCCTATATACTCCCATTTCTCAGATGCTGTCAGAAATTCCACTCTATTGGCTCAATGAGGAGCAGTCTCTTAAACTAAACTTATCTCAATATAGTGACTGATACAAACCCGCTGAGAGCACTGTTGGGAAGAGGTGGTGATACACAGAGAAGAATGAAGGGTGTTTCCCTCAAAAAACTGGAGGACTGGAAAGTTTGCTGTGTTGTTTGGCCTTCCAAATAACTAACATGTGCAGCATAGAGGAGCAGAGGCTTCTTCCGGTTCAATGGTAGCCCATGGTTAATTGCCCCAACGCAGGAACAGCTTGGGAGTAAGGCAAGTACAGCTTGGGAGTAGTCATAGCTGCATACTGTGTGGTAGGTAGGAAGCAGAGAACAGGTGAAGAAGAACACAGAGAAAGAAGACAGGGGCCAGATAGAGTCTCCAGTGTCACCTTCCCATGATTCTCTCCTACCAAATTGCCTGACCTCTAAATGTCCACTCAGCATGAAGTCAACAATGGGTTAAGCTCTTGGTGAGGCTTGGGCAATCTCTCTCTTATGTGTGTGTGTCTGCCTGTCGGTCTATCTGTCTCTCTCGCTTGCTGACTCACTCCACTTCCTGCTTACACTTTCTACAACAACAGGAGTCTCGGGTTCCTAGAGTCTCTCATCTCCTGGGATGTCTATCACGGCTTCAGTTTCACCCTCAGAGCTTCACATAGCACCCTTTCTGAGGCTACAATGACACCACTTCATGCTACCAGCTTTTTGTGTTAGCTTTCCAAGTCTGAGACAAAACACTGAAAAAGTTCACTTACAAGGAGGATAGATTTATCTTTGCTCCAATTTTCAACCACTGGTCAATAAGACTCCTTGTTTCTGAGATTTGTCTTTAGGCAGAATGTCATGGTAGCAAATACCTAGTAGAGTAAAACTGATCACTTCGTAGAAGCTAGGAAGGAAAGAGAGGAAACAGTGGTGGATATGCCCAACTGGGTCAACTTAATTGTCTTGAGAGTTGCCCAGAGAATTGTGGGAACATACTTGGGGTTATTCTGGATGAGCTGTGAAGGTTTGATGTTGAACACTATAACTGGTTCTTTGCCCCTGCTTTTTTGGGGGGGGCAACTATCATCCTTTTTTTCTTCCTGGACATCATAGAATAAGCAGCTTTGCTCCACAGTGCGCTATTGCTATCATGTCTCTACCTTGTAGCCACCTGACCATGGACTGAATTCTCTTAAAACATGAACTGAACTTAGCTTTTCCTCTTTTAAGTTGTGGGTGTTGAATATAGCATTTAAATAATGAGAAAGTTGATAGAGCATAGGAGATACTGCTGGGAGAGGCGAAGAAAGAGAAAAAAGGGAGTGTTGAATATGCACTCCAATAGCATGCCTCAGCGCCCTAACTTCCTTCCACTCAACCCTACCTGTAAAAGTTCCCTCTCTCCCCAACAATGCCATCATCTGTGAGCTAAGATTTCCATGCATGACCTTCGTAGGACATTTAAATTCTAAATTATAACAAAGGACAACAAGAAGTGAAAGGACAGAAAATGATAAAGAAATTGAATTCTGAAACATGTAACTAGAGCCACATTAAAGACAAAATAGACTGTATGAGAAAATAGGATGAAGGTCACTATATATTGATTAAAGGAACAATTTATCAAGATACAAAAACTGGCGCTGGGGAGATGGCTCAGTAGAATAAGTGCTTCCCTGGTAAGCACAAGGGCCTGAGTTCAATCCCTGGTCAGAAAAAAAAAGCTACAAATATATGTGTATATAATTGTAATTATATATAGTACATGTAATATATGTCATATATATGTAATATAATGTTGAGAAATTCAATTTTATAAAGCAAATACTTTTAATCTTAAAGGGAAAGATATCTTCCAATACTATACTCATAGGAAATTTCAGCCTCATATCTCACTGATGGTAGATCACCTCATGAAAACAATCAAGAAACATCAGAGTTCGACTACACTGTGGATCCAATGGACTTGGTGCATGTCACATTTCATCAGACAGATGCAAAATTTATAATCTTTTATCAGTACTAACTTTAACTCTCTGTAGAATGGGTCACCATATATTAAACTACACAATAAGTATAGAAAAAATTTTAAATCAAATCCTACTTTGTGTCTTTCTGATAACCAAACAAAATGGAGCCACAATTCAACAAGAAAAAATTTAAAATGAAAAAATAAATGGGGACTGAAAAACACTTTTGAATAGTGAGTCATTTACAAAGGCAGAAGGGAAATATGTGTTCTTATTGTATCAAAGTGGAAAAACAACTTACCAAAGCCCATAGGTAAGTTGATACAACTGATACTACATAGATGCAGTAAAAATACTACTATGAAGGAAATTTATTATATAAAAGAGAAAGGTTTCAAAAAAGCTAGTGATTCATCTTCAGTTTTTCTATAACACAAAGCATAAAAATAAGAGAAGTAAAGAAACAAAGGCTAAGAAAGTGGCTCAGTGGTAGAATGCTTTCCTAACATGTGTGAAGCCCTGGGTTCAAGTCCGAATAGTGAAAAAAATAGACAGAGGTCAAAGCACAAATAAATGGATAGAGTGAGGGCCAGCCAAATAGCTCAGCAGATTAAAGTGCCTGCTTATGTAGATACGGGTGCAGGGAGTTCGATCCCTGAGCCTGCAGTGCCAACCCCACCCATGGGACACACTGAGACAGCAATTAAAACTGGACGTCATAGCACGTGCCTATAATCCCAGCACTTGGGAGGGTGAAAACAGGAGCATCACCAGGAATCTGATCTACACAGT